TTTGGCCGACATGCAGGGGATGAGGGCCATTTACACGGACACAAATCCGATTCCTCGAGGAGAAAGTCTGCTATTGGCCAAGAAGACGACCAGGGTAAGATGCTGGAATCGACAGGGTTTAGTGGTGGGTTGCGTCGGCGTTCGAGGTTGATATTGGTCTGCGCTGCTTCTGATTTTTTGCCGGAAGCGTCGAATCCAACGAAGAGGTGCGGATGGCAATTCCTACGATCGGGAGTACAGGACGATGCAAAAGTCGGCCAGTTGTCGGTCTCCCGAATGACGATGATGTAGAGGGCTAACGAAAGGCCCTTTGCCAAAAAGCGTCGGTGTACAGCGCGGAAACGAGTCCGTGACAACCAAAGCCGGGACGATGAACCTAGCAGAAAGAGGAAGACGATGTGTTTATATCCAGGAAGCGAGCGAAATCGTCGACCACATATCCCAATCCACGGCCAATGTCGCAATCGCCCACGAAGCAAGCTAAGAAGCTGAGTGTTGGGGCAAGTGGATATGGTGGATGACAATGGGGCCCTTCGCCTTTAACAACGATGCCTCTCTGCCTTTTTTTGTGGAAGAAGTTGAGAGCATGACCCGAATCTCAAGTACCTGGGCGTACCGCATCCCGCTTTGGGAACAAGGTGCAGACAAGGCAGAGGGAGTGGGTGCATAGAAGACTTTCTTGCAACCAATCATGACACTGAAGAAGGGGAATACAGGCCTAAAAAGTCAAGAAGTCAAGAGCCGGCGGGTTAGAAAGACGAAAGCATGGCTAGCGAATGAGCAAAGGTAGTAGCCCTGAGTTGTCAGCGGGGGTGAGACTCTGGACTTTTCCACGATGAGGTACTTTGCAATACCTCGCCTGACTAGCACCAGTCCGGGCAAGCTTTCCATGTGGAGCAGCGAGCGTGGATTTGCCATGTTGCCAGAGACAAAACAAAGAGGACGACATCGGGCCTGGATCTGGGGCACAGGCGGGGAAGATGCCGAAGATGAAACAATCCGAAGTCGTCGATGTTCTCGGTGAATGGAACATTTCCCCGTGGAGCGATACAGCGAGGATAGACGAACAGATTCGATATCAATTCGCGACCTCTCCGGGTTTGCTGTAGCTCAGCGTTTCTCGGCGACGCTGGGTGACGGCTTGGAAACCAACAAATCAAGAACAGAAACAGGGGCATCGGAGTCGACGCGGAAAATGTGGCCAGCTTCGAAGGTCCGAGTGAGCATGGACACGATGCGGATGATGAACTAAGATAGAGCATTTCACGTCATCAGTAGGGACTGATGCTGGGTTGTGATGCAGGTGTGACCCCCGTTTCGTGGGGTGGCTGAAGCTATAATGAATGGGGGGCAGCAACAACCTTCCGCAGTTGGTCTACTGGAAGTCTGATTACCAACGGCATCCCACCCTTTGAGTTGGACTTCTCACCGACGTGATCAAGTTCGCGGCAATGCCAGCCGTAAATTACGACTGAGAAGCGAATCGAGTGTCGAGTTCGGAAAGCTGACGGACCTCGTGTCCGAAGATGGCCCTGCTACCGTTGAGTTGTACGACGGTGAGACGGGGCAAGACAAGACTGACGAAGTCTGGCAGACTCAAAATGCCATTGACGAGAAACTGTAGGCGTACCGGCGTACCCCCAACTAAGAGCATGGGTACAGGGGGCCGAGAAAATTTCAATCTCTTCCCATGACCACGATTTTCCAGCCTCTTGTGAGCGACAAAAGGGCCCTGATTTCTGACGAACCCCCGCGCACCGGCCTGGTCGGTGTAGAGTCCGCGGTGGGGCTCGCACGAGGGGTAACGGTGGCCCACGGTGACCGCCGAGGACGCAGGCCGTTGGCCTCCGGGGCCAGCCAAACAAGACGTTCGTGAGGGTGCCGCTTGCCGGCTGGAACATGTCTTCTCGTCTGTGGATATGACTGCAGGTTTCTGAGCATCCTCTCACAGAGATCATCCACTGCGAGATCGCACTTGCCTGGTGGATCAAGGGTGGGCACGGGGTTTGACAGTCTGCCAGCGGAAATTCAACGAAGAGGAGTGTTCCGAGATGAGGACCTTGGGTGCTGGCTATCTCACCAACTGAATGCGCCCCCGGAAGTCCGCTCCCGATGGCAGCGCCGACACGGAGGTTTTCCGAGGTCAAGATAACAGAACCCACAGCAGATATACGACAAAGGCCGAAGCAACCAAGCAAAGCAGCTAAGTCTCTTGCTCCATCTGCAGTAAAAGATGTCGCTGTCGTCTGACTCCCAGAGGACAGTGTGGCATAAGCTCACCTGTTTCTTGGATTTCTATTGCGGGCGAAGGTGGTAAGCAATTACATTGACCCTGACAATTACCTTTAGGAAACACCATCATCGGGAATTTGAGTTTTGTCAGCGATGTGTCCGAGGTTCACCACTGTTACGCCGTTCCCCAGACTGGACGTCACACGCTGTGAGAGTCGGGCTCTGTGGAACCATCGCACGCGCTCAAGGCAGATTGAACATCCTGTTCTCTTGTCAGGCAGTGGCATCGCTGTCCATTACGAGGAAGGCAATCTGACACCACTTCTCACCCCAGAAGTGTGCGGCTTCCGATGACAAAAACGCCCCTCTCTCAAAGCCCGCTCAGCCCTCCTGTCGACCTGCCCAAAGGATTTTCAGTGCATGATTAGATGCGTACCTCCCACGCCGCAAGCCTGCAACGCAACCCACCCCTTGCTGCTAGCCATGCGACCCCAATAATCGATGAGATTCGATCATCGATTCTAAGCCAAGGTAGCTTGGATGCTGCATGGATTTCCAGGTACTCAGGTCGGGATCGGAAGTCGGATAGCCCCCCAGCGCAGAACAGGAAAGCCGCTCGCAGGACTTCCTTTGGGCTGTAGCTGTTCCTCTGTCCGTCCTCGAATCAACCAGTATCGTCAAAGATCCTCAGGTACGGAATCTTCAACGCCAGCCAGTAGCTGGTTTGCCGCACCTGGCTCTCAACTACGATTTCCTCCCCATTGTCCAAGGGAATAACCAATTTGGATGTACCATGGTATCCCCAAACGCTGTCCGGAGCTGCCACCAACCACGAAAATGCATGACTGACTGCCTTACTTGATCCATAAGCCGTGGAGTCTCCGCAGTGACAAACATGCGGATTCTGGAACAAAGCAGAGAAATAATGCCCTGTGCCGGGGCAACTGCATTGTGCTCCCCGCGCGCCCCGACTGGCTGCTCGTGTCTTACCTACATTCGGCGGCAGAGTCGCCGAAGGCATGTTCGCCGTCGCCTGGTTGTTGATGTGCTCGTATGGAGTTCGTTTGTTTTATTGTCAAAGCCTGGCCGGGCGTGTTCAGTCAAGTTCTTCTCCTTGCGTCCGGAAGCTGAACAAATTTGACTTTGAGTCAACGACGCCTATGCCTCCTCTTGAACCTTCAACACGTTCCACTTGGCTATAGATCGGAATGTTTATGTTATTCTTTAGAGTCTTTGATGGACATGGCAGATGGGGGGTTTCGTTCATTAACACCCGACGTACCACATAGCACATCGTCTCCCGACACCAGTTTCTGCTTGTGGATTCTCGCAGTACCGCAGTACGGGTGTTACGGCGGGGTTTGTGGGCGACCACAACCTGGTGGCGGGGAAATGTCCCACCTCCACAAAGTCTGGACACGAGAAGAGGTAGCCGAGAGCAGCTACGGATACCTGAGTGCCCGTCTGGTCAAGGTCCATAGAAATTTAAGACACGATACACCTGTATTGATATCCGTACAGGATATAGTCAGGACCTTTCTTACTTCCAGGGGTCGAAAATCCGTGGAGACGAGGCTGGGGCTGTTCACCTCTCAAATACAGAAATTGGCAAAACCGCGTCCGTGGGATGATTTGGGATCAGCTGCTAGCGACCTGCTCAGGCACAAGCCGCCTTGTTCGAAATGTTTCGCCCCTAAGGGGAACGCACAAAGCGATTGTGAGTTGTGATGAAAGATTCCATGAAGCGTCAAGTTCACCATTCTTGTGCCTACAATACGCCGGTAAGGAAGTACCGGGGCGCCTTTTTACCCCAGAATCAGGATCAGGACCAAAAGTCGGGGTATCGGAATCTCAACCAGGACGAGAATCTCGCATTTCCCCCTCCCTATTCGGGGAGGCCCCCTCTCCTCGGCTGCAAGAACGAAGAGGAAGTGCCCCCTTTCGTATTTCGTAATGCAATGACCAATCGATTGGGGGTTACGGTGAGAACTTCCTCGGGGTAGACAACACTACCTCAGATGCCCTACTAGCATCCTGCTGCCCGTGGAAAGGTCCCTCTCCTCCACCTCCTTCCCCTCACCCACAGTCATTCATGGCAGGTACGAGTAGGCACACAAACGTACCCCAGAGAATATGGGTGTGTGTAAGAATGCCTGCACAGTATGTCATGAACCATATTCGTGGCTCCAGGCCGACGCGGACTGCCGAGTGAGCCTGCGTCATATAAGCATGCAGCAGAGGGCACGAGACTGTTTACTGTGTGGTGGTTTTCCGTGTGGGAATGAATGAGTGAGTGAGTGAGTGGGTTGGGCCCTTGAGTACATGCCGATGTAACTATAGCCCTTTTCTGTCCTTCGCACGCTGCGTTTTCCCTCTCGGTGGCTGTGTGCCTTGATGAAGCACCTGCCCTCCCTACCCTTGGGAACTGTTTGTGGGAAGGGGTGTGATGTAGGTGTTGGGGTGAGAACTAGAGGGTAGGCACGGCTTGGCGGATGAATGGCTTGTGGTTGACAGGTCGAAGTGAGGATGTGGTGCTGGTGGAAGGCAATGGGGGTTCATGGCTATTGGACTGGAGCAAATTGTTCCTCTAGGGTCGAGCAATGTGACGAAAGTCTTTCACAATTCCCAGGGTGGGGCCTCGTGAAGATGATGAGTTAAAGGCTCATCATGTCTTGGGACGTAGAGGTAGCCACAGTTATCACTAAACGCAGGGCAATGTTCTAGATCTAGATATGCGTTGAACAAATCCTACTTCTCAGTGGACATTCTTTTATGGAGCAGATGGAAAGTATCGTGGGCGGCAATAACATGACATTGTATCACAACATATGATGACGTCGAGGTGTCCTAACAGCGAAGTGGGGATACGGTGGCTTTCACAGGACGATATCACAAGCGAAGCATATGGGAACTCAAGATTGGGCGGAAGAGTGACCTTCAATGGCTTGGTATTGGCCGCAGCTATCTGCCGGGTAGTCAAAGCCGACAACTCTAAAATCAGCCCTAGACTCCGTAATTTTTGTTTGATCATGCTCAATCCCATTTGCCCGACCCAAATAACCCGTGTCCATCCCGAGAGACATTCACGAAAGTGTGTAGCAATGCAGCGGAGGCGTCACCTTCCGGAACAACAACCCCGACACTGCAGCAACACACGCAGCAGACTCACGCGCAACCTTCATCATTTCGTAGGAGAAGAGGAAGAATGATCGCTTAGTTGCCGGCGAGGTTGTTGGCGCGACGGCGGTCACGCTCCTCGGCGATGGTGAGCTTGACACCCTTGCCCTTGGGCAGGGAGATCCAGGGCTTCTCGGAGCCGATGACGAAGACGTTGGACTCACGGGTGGCGAAGGTGTTGTCAATGGCGTCCTTGATGTGGACGATGTTGAAACCTCCGTCGTGGCGCTCACGGTGGGTGATGACACCGACACGACCCATGTTGCGACCGCCGGTGACCATGGCGATGGAGCCGGTGTCGAACTTGATGAAGTCCTCAATCTTGCCGGTGGCGAGGTTGATCTTGACGGTGTCGTTGACCTTGACGAGGGGGTCGGGGTAGCGGATGCTGTAGAGGAAGAGCATAGTCAGCAAAGAGGGTTCGGGTGGGGTGATACATTACAGCCGTCGGATATAGCTCCAATCTCTTTCCTTCGTAATCGGCCAATATTCTTCTTTTTGACGTTGCAATTCCGCCTCCCTCCCACTTCAAAAGGGAAGGGGATTTTGTATGATTGGGAAGTCTTATTCCAGGAATTGAACAAGAGAGCATTTTGGGTGATGACGAATCGACCAAAGCTTGATCCAACGGCTGAATGATGTCTGACAGAACCAGTGCAGAGTGTGCAAACTCACGTTCTCGCATCGTGCGTGACCAAGAATGGGATTCCACCGCGGCCAAGCTGAACGCGCTTGACCTTGCCGAGCTTGTACTCGGCCTCCTCGGCCTGGATGCGGTGGACGGTGAAGCGGCCCTTGGTGTCGTAGATAAGACGGAAGTTCTCGCCAGTCTTGTCGATGGTGATGACGTCCATGAAGCCGGCGGGGTAGGTCATGTCGGTGCGGACCTTGCCGTCGACCTTGATGAGGCGCTGCATGAGGATGGAGCGGGTCTCGCGGAAGTTGAGGGCGTACTTGAGGCGGTTGCGGAGGAAGACGATCAACGGCAAGCAGTCGCGGAGCTTGTGAGGACCGGCCGAGGGGCGGGGAGCGTAGGTTCCGGACAGCTTGTCCAGGAGCCAGTGCGAAGGCGCGCTAAGGCGCTTCTGGTGCTTCTTGCTGTGAGGGCATTGTTAGAATGTTTGTTCGTATCGCGGAGTATCGCGGACGTCCTTGATGAAGGTCTCGAATGTTGTCGTCGGAATTTTTCTTCAACTCATCGCGATGGGCAAGTCAAACTTGCTCGAGAACCAAATAAAAATCCGAATGGCATCGACGACGACAATAACCTAGGAATTGAGGATTGGGTATCAAGCACTTACAGTCCCTTGCCCATTTTGTCTGACTGCCGATTAGTCTATGGGGGTATCTGGTCGGTGGGTGTGAAGGTCGAAGTCGAGATACTCAGATTCAACAACGGGACGTGGAGTACAGAGCGATCGGGCTGGAAATTTTCTGTGAGGCGTAGGTTTTTCGAACCCTACACTTGTGTCTCTGGGCGGTCAAAAGGAGGGGCGGGGCTTCGATAATCCGGTGGTGGTCAGTGGTCAACTGGATTAAGCGAGGTGGTCCGTGTAAACCCTCTCCACTTGGCTCTCGTGCTCCGTTGATTCGGCGGTTGTGGGTCCCGTTCACGACCGGCACATGGCAACACGGGCTTGTCGGGTAGGATCGATGACAGCGGCCCCACCCAAAGGACAATAACGGTATCCGAATGTTAGTACGCAGACGCAGAGGCAGCTAGCTGTCTCTTCTTCGAGACCATTCAAATTCCATCATTGGCATGTCGAACCGTGTAAATTTTCCAGACTCATAAGTACGCATCGGTCATGTGCACTGAATTCAGTACAATCATCTAGCGATTGGTGCTTTCTAGCTCACAGTGCCCAGGTCTCGACACTCTACTGAGGTAGTCGGTTGATGGCTCAAAGTAGCCTGTCCTGAACACTATCTCGTTCTTGCGCAGAAACGATCGTAGTCCATCTAATTCACTCCAAAGCCCTTGTCCATCCTTGGCCAAAGATATCTGACCATGCGCCGTATCTCCAAAATGTGATTACGGAAAACCAGTTTGGTATAAGTTTATGTCCAGAAACGACCGTTCGGGCAGCGAAGCGCCCCATTTCTCCACATACGCCACGCAAGCAAACAATACGCAGCACTTTTGATTCTAATGTTCGATACAAATTCTCGCACACACGGTGACAGGTCGGAACCTAGCAGATATGCTAGACCGTTGTCAAATGACGCAGCAGGATGAGTATCCGGCTGTCGAAGGGCTGTTGAGACTTCAACACCCAATGGTACGTTAAGGTGACGTTGATTCAGACGTCTGATCGGGTGCGTATATCGCAGTCGAGCTAGCGACCTGTGAGTCGTCCAGCAGTAGGCGAGATATATCCATCTCTCCCGCACTTCCCATGAAAGTCGCCGTGGTCGTTTCGCCAAAGTCGAAGGCCTGCTGGCTGGCAGGTAGCTCTCCGTTGTCAATGACAGATAGAGGCCACCTAGGAAGGTCCTCCTTGGAATTGCTTCTATTCAATGCCGCCTCCATGGGAGGTGGCCTGTTGGGCTGCAGAGTATTTGAGATGCTCATGCTAATCGTCGGTTCGAGGGTATCGCCCCCTCGCCCGTCCTGGGGTTGGAACAATCCCTTTTCAATCTTGGCATAAACACTGGGGTACTTGTTCCGAACCCTGTCTCTGAGGTCTGTCGGTTGTCGTCCAGACAGACTAAAGCGTGGATCTCTCTGGATTTTGGTCCAGGCTGGTCCATATTTATCCAGCCCTTCGAGAATTTGCTTGTCGTCTTGGTCGGTAAAAGGTCGTCTTTCTCGTCTGTGTGACTTCTTGAATGGACCGTGGATTCCTAGCTCGGCTAGATCCTCCAGCTTCTTGCGGTGCGCCCTGCTCCTCTTCATTTTAGGAAAGGCGTCCAGTTCAGCCTGGGTCAACTGGGACTGTTCGCTCGCCATAGTCTCATCTTGGGCTATGAGTATATTTTCGGACAGTAGTCCTGTTTTCGCTTTGGGCTTTGGTTCGGTCGGGGTCGTTGGCGGCGCCGCAGCAGCAGCAGTTGCAATCTTCGGTTCACTGTTCGTCCTGCGCAACTCGTTCGGACAACAGGTGCGAAACCGATCCTTCAAGTCACCCGCAGTTCGGTCATTGAAGTTGAAGTCGGGATCTGCAAGGATATCCGTCCACTTTCCAACGCCATGACGGTTGACACCTAGTAGTAAGTGGTTTGTCTCAGCTTCCGACCACTTCCTCCTCGGCTTCATCGCCTTCTTCCTTGTTTTGCCACCACTTAATTTGGAATTCTTGGTTGTTGTCGAGTCAGTCTCAGCGGGCTTCTCAGCCTCGATCTCTATATCCTTTTCCTCGGGCACAGGCGCGAAATCTCGGAGTGGCTTTAGCTGGTTGCTTTCGGGTTCGTTGAAGTCATTGGAGGCAATGGGTGGGAACAGCGCGGCATCGGGAGGAGGTTCGTGTAAGCCATTGATGATGGGCGGCATAGTCGGCATGACCTGGGGCTGGATTGGCTTTTGTTTCTTGACGGGCTGTGGTAGCTGCACGAAATCGTCCTTGGTGGCAACGTTGCGGTGCCTCTTCTTCGTTGCGGAATCATCTTTGTTCTCGGGCACCTCGTCAAGGATCTTGCTAAGAGAAAAGGAGGAGTCTGCATTATCTCGGTCCTCGCCCAACAGCAGTCTCAATTGTAAATGCGCGGTGCTGTTGACTGCTCCCCGATCAATTGGTGCTTCGTCATCCTTTCGTGAATCTCGTGCGGAGAAGCTGTCGTCGAGGGTGCCGGCATTCTGTGGTGGGGCTCCGTGGCTGGTGGCAAGCGAGGGCCCTTTGGAGTTTTCTTCGCGATGGGTGGTCTCAGGCTCGAGTGGGAAAGGCCTCTCGGAGGGACGAGAAAAGGCTAGGCGGAGAGGCGGTAGATCAGCGTGAGCGAGCTGTGGCGTAGTGGAATCGTTCAGCAGGTGGATGAGGCGTGGCTCGATGTAGGCCATCGTGGGCTAGAGAAGTCGGAGTGGGCATTTGGTTTAAAATTTGAGGTAGGAAACAACACAGACGAAGAGAAGAGAAGTGAAGGGGAGAGGCGAAGGGAAGAAGGAGAGACAATTGGGCGCGGGATGGATGGTGTAAGGTCGGCGGCGTGCGGGCAGGATGGTGAGGAGGAGGAGGAGAAGGAGGATGGAAGACTTGGACTCGAGTCTTCAACGAGTTTGCTCAGGGAGCAAAGACTGGCAGTGACTGACCGAAAGGCGGAGGGGACTCGGAGCATAGAGGTAAGGGTATCAGTAAAAAGTCAAGCGTGTGAGCGTGAAGCAGGCTCAAGCAGCTAAGGATTGGCTTGCAGCATTTCAGGGCCCGGTCTGACAGGCAGACGGGCTCACCAGTGGTCACCACAGCTTGCCAAAGTGATTAGTGGCTGCAGGGCTCCTCCTGGAAGATTCGCCCAACGATGGAAGTTCCACGTGAAGATTCTCCACCGTAGAAGCGGCAAATGAGACTAGCGTGGTTGGGCCTGCGGTATTTGCTGATACCAACCAGCGGCGCTGGCGGGTGTGCCAAGTAACTTTAATACTTTGTGATTATCATTGGCTGCTGCCCAGCGATGCCCGTTTCTTCTTCTCCGCGCCGGCACGCAGCTTCCTCTGTCATTCTGGGTGTCTTTGCCTCTCTCTCAGTCTTCCTCCTCCTTCTTCAGGACAAAAGATGCCTGGGTACTCCGTCGATATGTGAAGATGTACCTTACAGACACTGGAGACAACTTGATGCACCAAGGTCGGACACTACAGGTACACTTGCCCTATGGAGTTGAGAAGGCGAAATAATTGATGGCTGCCCAACTTAAGCAACCTGCCACCAGGCAATGGGGTCAATTACCCTTGACAGACATTGGCAAGACTGGCACTGACTGGATGGCTCACCGTGCACACCTCTCGTCCCACCTTAGGTTCACTGGATGATGGATCTCCCTTCCCTGAGCCTGAATTGGGTCCTGCCAGCCTGCGTAACTGCGTAACTTCAACCCAACTCGGTGCGAAGCTCGGCAACCTTGGAGGGCATCTTAGCACCACTGGCACCTGTGCTCCAGGTCATCTGGTTGCTTACTGTCATTCCGTACGGTAGGTTAACAGGGCAGTACCTTACGGTGTATCTTACCTCATGTACCCAAGACATGTCTCTCGCTCCAGTTTACAGCTGTCCGTAGTCTCCGCCTCCGCCTCCGCCTCCGCCTCTCCGAATTCCTGCATGACACACACCACAGTCACCACACACCACAAACCCTCCACCAAAGCTGAAAGAACATCTCACAGCTTGTCGGTCTGATCAATTGCGTTGCCTACTGCCCCTCCCTGCCACCTTTGTCGCCTTCTTCTGAACCATTCTGGCCTCGAATTCGCCTGTCCTGCCTGCCTGTCAAACCGCTCGTCCGGCTTCGAGAAACCACCTGTCCTTTCCATTCATCATCAGCAAGGGTTCGGTGACTACCTTTGTTGTTGCACCGCTTTCAATCCCCCTCCCCCGCTTCCCACTAGCAGGCCGGTACCAACGGCCTCTACCTACTCTCGTCATGGCGGCAGCTGCGGCTCTTCCAACCTTCCCCCGACTAGTCTTCACCGTCTTCGAGCCCATCTCACTGTACGTTCACTCTCTCTCGCCACCCTGACAGTCCCCAGCCGCCACTGAGCTGATGCGTTTCTGTCTCACAAAGTGTCGGCGGTTTCCTAGGTGCCGTTATCAACCCGGATTGGTTCATATCCGAGCAGATCGTGCAGGGCGCCATCTCGGCCGCCGTGCCGACTCCAGAATCTGATAATGCCCGTCTCGTGGCCCTCCAGCTCGGGAACATCTACCTGCTCATGGCCATGGTCGGGCTGGCCGTACTTAACCTCACCAGTGAGCTGAAAGTCGTGCGCGGGTACCTCGTTGCTCTTTGGATAGCCGACCTTGGTCACATTTACGTATGCTACCATGTTATGGGCCTCGATCGCTTCCTCGACGTGGCAAGCTGGAACTCCATGGCCTGGGGCAACGTGGGAGTCACGGTGCGACCACCCTTCTCGTTCGAGCTATGACGCTATGCTAACACATCAAAGGCCCTTCTCTGTCTGACCAGAACGTCATACCTATTGGGCCTCTTCGGAAAGGATGCTCCTCTCAAGCAGTTGGAAAAGAAGCAGCAATGATGCGACCTGGACCCAGTACCCCCCTCTCCAGCCAGTCTTGAGCCTCTGCAATGATCGTAGCTACAATTGATGGTCTCAGCTCGAGTCTGCTGGAACAGATTATGCTAATTTCATGTGAAAAACCCAATTTCCTGCCTTACGTTGTTTTTCTTGCGCTTACAGCCCTGAAGACATATGATTTAAATCAAAACAGCGGAGAGAGCGCTCTCTCCTGCCGTATCTATGTCTACCCGGGGCTGGGAGGCGGAAAGCTCACTTACACGATTCGTCGCCAAATGAGCCCCCAAGCACAACCAGTGTCCAAAACACCCAACGCTAGTGACCTCCGAATCACAGTAACTAGCACATTAACTTGAAGATAGAAACATCAAAGAAGGATTTACCTGTCATGAACTTCGTCAAAGTATTTGTTTTGGTTTCTCTGCCCCAATCTTCATCAAAGTATATTCAGGTGAGATGGCCCGGTGGGCAAGCCAAGGTGGCATAGGCAGCAAGAGGCGACAGCTTCTATCCCCCCGCACAGACACGTGCAACTAAAGCCAAATTGTCGCTGCCAGAAACAAGGAGTGGGTAAACAACATCTTGAAAGAGATTCATCGGAGGCTAAATGATGGGCCGAGAATGTCTGCAGCGAGGCAAGACGCTGAAGACTTGCGCTTCGTGATGGAACTGCAGGGTTCCTTTGATCATGTACCCTAGGTGCCTTAGCCCCTAGTCTTAGATCATGCCCAAAATGACGACGTAAAGCAACGAAAATCCCACAGAAACTCCTTCTGAAAAGGTTATCTGAGAGTCTGCCAAATGATTAGGTACTATGGCGCAGCTCCTCATTCAGCAATCAACCCAATATTATTATGTTGGAGAGGGGGATATTTAAACCTTGTTGTTTCCGTTAAAGAGGCGACGCGGGTGCTCGCGCATGACGCCTTAGGCAACTAAGACACAGTGTGAACTCGTACTCAAGCACCACTCGATTAACGTATCGTGTTCCGATCATCGTCGGGGTTAGGGTTAGAGAATCCGGTTAGCAGCAAACTCAACATCCCTACCTAACCCCAGCAAAAACGCGTCTCCCGGCAGCCCCAGTCATTCCAAGAAACAACACCGAGTCAAACAGCATGGCCCGTACAAGAACGGGCCGCGGTGCCCCGGAGTCTCCGGGGAACAATATTGAAGATGCTCGTTCTGCTCGGTTGACACGACGTCGAGCAGGCGGCACAAGCATGACGGAACGCGGCGAAGCCACCACCGCTGCCGCCTCTGCTGCAGCTCGGTCAAAAACGCGAGGCAAAGGGAAAGCTAAGATCGTCCCGACGAGCACCACGTTGCGAGAGATGGCGGAAGAACGAGACGAGGAGGAGGATGACGTGGAAGAGCAGGAAGAGGAAGACCTCTACAGAAATGAACCGGTCGCGCGGTTCAATGCGAAGGACATTGTCAGGGACATCAACCCACAGGACAACGACAGCGGTAAGTCTTGTTATGTGTGTTCGTGATGGGGCTATCTGAAGTTCGAGACTGATAGCCGCCCTTAGAAATGGGATCGCAAAGTGTTTCGGGCACACAGAGGAACGCGACCCCGGCTTTCATGAGTGCTGCATACACAATTTTCTCAAGTCTGCCAACATTGCGTTTGTTTTGCTTCCTTGCAAGAACGCGTTATGCTAATCGTGTTTACAGAAGCACCAGGGTCATCGGCACCTCGAGGATCACAAGGTGCGACCCGCGTCTTGCGCGTTCGGGAGACAAATTACTGACAAAAGCAAAAGGACGCGTACAACTACCGGGAAAAGAGGACGACGGCAGCGATGACGAGTTGGGGTTGGGTGAAGGCGACGATGACGCATCCCAGGATGTCGTCGAGGCGGAACTCAAGGAGAACGCGCTCGACTCCTTATGGCACGAATCCGAAGCTCTGGCGAGGCTGCTTCGGAACCCAAAGCCAGGTAGTAAATCCTGGCGGCGGCTGCTACCCGTCTTCCGGGGCAACTGGCTCCGTACCCGCGAGTTCTTTGCAGAGACCGACGCGCTATTCATCGACCTCCTCGCCAGCATCGAGGACATTAGCGAAAGGCAACAGATGAAGGCGCGGGCCGTCATCATCGGCGCCAACGCCACGTCGCTGCTCAATGTCATATCCGACGCCGAGCTCCGCAAGGAGAACAACTTTGATAGAGTCTGGAAGATCTTCCAGCGCCTCGATGAGGACTTTCCCGCACCCTTGTGCCCGTACGATGACTACGCCGATCATGTTACCGAAGACGATATTGAGCTCGCCCTCGACATCCGCACGCACCGGCTGATCATGAGTCTCAAGACATTGTCAGACGACCAATATAACCCGGCCGACATCGCGGCGGAGCTTTTCTGCATGCCCCTAGAGTCCTCTGTCGATGCAGAGGAGGCACTGCAGAATGGACCGTTCAGGGGCATCAACGGCCGCATGACGGAGCGTTTCGCAGAGAGGGCAAAACAAATCCACGACGCCATCTTGGACAAGAGCGCGGACGATGCCATTCAGGCCCTGGACGAGACGTTCCCGCTCGAGGGATCGCCTGACCAGCCACAGAACGGGGCCGATGACAAATCGATCGACTTCATCAGCAAGATTTCCTCCTGGTGCAGTACAATGATTGACCAGCTCAGTGTTATTTTGAAGGACCCCCCGCAGGGATCGAGGGAATCCTCTCCGACAGACTCCCTCCCCTCGAGCGCACCACAGGATATTGTCCGCAACGACGTGTACGACCTCCTCCAGATGCTCTCCAAGCTGTCTATACGCAACTCACATACTGACTCGACTACAGACGCGAAGATATCTTGTCTCGATCAAACGTGCAACTCCTAGCAAAGCTCTCCCGCGAGAACCCCTCGCGCATACGCCCATCTCCGTCACTGGCAAACTCCCAACGCGGATCTCAGCGCGGAGCCATCGTGGAGTCCATCATCAACGGAGGCATCGGCGGTGATTACTACGAAGAAGAAGACCGCCGCCGCAACCCCTCCCCAGCGTCGAGCGACCTCTCAGCCATCATCGCAGGCCTCCCCAGCACCGCAATCATCCGCAGCACGCAACCTTCTTCCTCCGCCAAAGCCGGCGCCAGCACCGCCGCCACCACCGGGCCCCCTCGCTCCTCCGGCTTCACCGCCGTCAACAACAGCAAGAAACGACCCCGCGAAGCCTCCGTCTCCCTATCTCAACAATCTCAAGAGTCAGACGACCCCTTCGAAGAAGATAGCCGCGACCCGAATCCCCAACGAAGGGCCCAACTCGCCCGCGACCGCCGCGACATGCCCCCTCCCCCCTCAAAACGCAGAACCCTCCCCTCCACAGCACCACCACCCCGATCAGCACCACCCTCTTCTTCAGCCTCCACCTCGACAACCTCCCTCCAAAGACGCCCCCGCTCCTCCCTCCCCAACGGCGCCCCAGCCTCCTCAGCCCCTCCCCCTTCCCCCCGAAGCAGCGTCTCCAGCACAGCCAGCACAGTCGCCTCCTTCCGCGAGATAAACGAGATGAACCGCCGCCCAGCCTCCCGCGCCGGCCCACAACAGCGCGTCCCCTGGTCCGACAGGGACACCCATCGCCTCATCCGCCTCATAGAGCACCACAACTGCCTCTGGGCGCTCATCGCGAAACGCCAGCACGCCGCCCGCAGCGATGGAGGCGGCGGCGGCGGCGGCGACACCTTTGAGGAGAGGGAGGACTGTATCCTGGATCACCCGCGGGACCAGCAAGCTATCCGCGACAAGGCGCGGAATCTCAAGGTTGATTTGTTAAAGTATGTTTGCTCCCCCCTCCCTTTTTGCCCTCTTCCCTGTACTCGTCTCCCCTTCTTCCCTTGGTTCGATCAAAAAAGCAAACACCCAGGACGAAACTAATCATGAATAATAAACAGAGCCGACTTGAACCTCTACCCCGGCTTCGACGGCATCGCCCTCGGCAAAAAGGAACGCCTGGCTCTCATCAGTCGCGGCAGGAACCCAGACCGTAAGGAGGCCGACGTCGACGAGGCGACGGGCGAGCCCACGCATACCGAATACGTAGAGTTGGAAAGCGACGACGAGGACGATGAGTTGTAAAAAAAGAAGAAGAAGAAGAAGAAGAAGAAAAAACAACAAGGCTGGCTGGCCTGGCGCAGCAGCCATTAACTCGACAAACTTGCATTCTTTTCTGTCACCTTATCTTTCATGGCTAGCTATATATCATCCAGAGGGGCTTGAAGTGTAAGAACTAGCAAGGAACAGCCATGGGATGACGAAAAAGGGAGCCAGTCGGTGGCCTATGCGAATTCATTACTGGTGCTGAGGATTGGCTCGCAGGGTTATTCTTGGCTATTGGTGTTTTTAGAAGCATGCGATAAGCATGCTTCATGGCGTTCATGGATGGATATAGGATACTCGAATGTAGACCCTATTTTTCCTTAAACGTAGTCTCATTGGCACGTACTCGGTAGCAGGCCGGACAGTCTCACATGTCAAGCATCCACGACGTAGCAGGTCAATCAGTCTCGTCATGAAGAAGACAAATCAAAATTCGTGAATAGAAAACCGGTCCCTATCAAGACTGCCCTACAGCTATCGGCTGACCCTCCCGGGTAACCACCATAGTCGGTTCCAACCTGTATCTCTCGTGCCCGTCTGAATCGAATCGCAGGCCTTCTCTATCCACCTGCTCTCCAACCAACTGTGACTGATTACAACCGCCGCTAAACTCAGTCTACCCTTTCGTCCCCAGAATCTTGAATGTCGTTAAAAGAAGTGAAGTAAAAAGAACAAGAAAAGAAAGTCTGGTAAAGCGAGGTGTGGTCGCTGCCAGTGAAGAAGTCGGGAAACGTATTTTCGGTGCCAAAAGTACAATAAACTAAGTCTTGCATCCTTCTCGTGCGAAACAGGCGTCTTGGCGATGCTAGTGTCACCCGATTGCTCGAGTCGGAAATGCTGGTATACGTCGTCATCTTGCCTGAGCCATCGTCGAGGCAAGGAAGCAACAGGGATATCAAGGAGTTTCGTCATGCGAAGTTGGGCTGATGATGCTGTCATTTCGCCGTATTTTGGGCGCCCTCCAACCATAGGAGTTCATAAGAATTGGTATGTGACAGAGGAAAAGGGGGTATGCTGCGCGGTGCTCTCAAATCTCATCGACAAGTGCAGAAATCAGGTGTAAAGCCAGCCATCGAAAAGGGCTGTGTGGTTCAGAAAGGTAAGGGTATCGACGGTTCAAAAGTAAAGCCCATGGACCAACTCCGAAGGGGTCTATCGGCGACGAGCATTCGGGCTGTTCTTAAGTCGCGAAGTTCGCCAGCCCTCGTACCACTGCTCTCTGCTGGCCTCACGGAGTTCGGCCCTCCACTCGCTGAAGACGGCGTCCTTGAGTCTCGTGAAGTCACAATGCTCCTCGTTGTATGGGTCCGCAAAACCCCATGGGAATTGACGTCCTAAAACCTCGGGTTCGTACAAATCAGGGCTAATGACTGAGAGCGGAAGGAAGGGCACTTCCTCCTCCTTGGCTTCCTGCTTAGCCTTGTGCTGACGGATGGAGGACCCAGAAAGTCGTTTCGAGCCGGGAGAGGAGGGTACACCTTCCCGTCCTTGGATTGGGAAATCGTCCTCATCGTGGGAATCGGCGTGCTCTTCGTCAGACACTGCCTCTTCTTCCTCTGCGATCCTGGTTGAGTCGTCGTCCTCGTCAAGGCCAAGTGCCTCAAGCGGGTCCAGTCCTGATTTCTTGACGGTTTCCCACACGGTCTTCTTGAGGATATTCATGTGCTTGGTCGTGATCGTGTCCGACTTGGAAATGACGGGGATGACTGTAGTCTTACCCTGGAGGGTACGGAGCACTTGAAGATCCAGATCCTCGTCAAGACCTCCCGAAATGCGAGCTGGAGGAGCATATTTGCCGTTGTGCCCGTTCGATACCCCGCCCTTGACTGACGCCAGGTTGCGGTCGAGACGAGCTGGGTCGAGAACCATGAAGACGGCATGAATGTGGGTATCTTGTACGCCAGGCGATCGAATCACCTTCATTTCCTCGGTGAAGGTCTCTTCGAACTTGCTCTCCAGGAAGGCCGACATCTCCCTAAGTTGGAGATCGACAACATTCTTCTCCAAGCCTTCCGAATCCCAAAGTGTGAGGCCAATTCGCTCGCCGTCAATCTCCGTCTCGAGGTAGTGAGGGATGAAATTGCCGGAAGGGGGAGATCTAGGAGCGGGTTCCTCCTCCGCCTCAGTCTTGCGGGATCGCTTCTTCGGCGGGAGAGCCAGAGCAGTCTTTAGGAATTCGAGGAAAGACGTCTTTCCAGCGCCTCGGGTGCCAATGACGAGAACACTACGCAAAGAGGGTTAGCGGGCTGTAGAGGAAGGGCTGGCATGACAATGTCTCGGCTGTTGACTTACTTGAAGGGAGTGGGATCCTTTCTTCTCCGAACCCTTCTAGGGCTGTTGACAGTGCTGATTGCGCTGCTAGCATAGCTGTAGCGACCACGGTGCGTCATGCTCTCGGTGCGAGCATAGGGATCGTAGGCATTCGCGGGAATGGGAGGCATAGGCGGCACGGATCCCGCGACACTGCGGCTGGGCTCCATGGAGGGCCGGGTCGAGTAGGCAGTACCTATGGTGTGATCCGACATGATTGAGGCCTCCTCAGCACGCATGTCAGAGGGGATGGAGTTGGAGAGCTGGTCATTGGCCTTGTAGAACTCGGGGAGCTTGGGGGGAGTTCTGGAGATTGCAGCCTGACGCTGACGCTCGAGTTCGCGTTCCTGCTGTTCGCGAAGGGCTTGGGCTTTCTTACCACCCTTCCCCAGGTCGCCGGACTTGGAACGTCTGAGAAGCATACCGAAGCTAGAGCGACGGGGCTGGCTCATTATCTGGGGTCCTCAGCATAAAATAAAGGTTTCAGAGTCGGAAGCCGCAAACGGAGTGGGCGTATAGCATATGCGACCACAATGCTAGCTGCCCGTTTCGCTTGTTCGGTTTATGGGGGAGACCCTTTGCGTAAGTAGCTTGCGTGGAAACGGCGGAGGTGTGGACCGCTTATCGCGAGGACGTCGAATAGCACGGTGGCTGAGATGTCGGAATTTGAAGGGGAGAACAGCTAGTTGGCAATCGATTTCTCCGGACTGGCCTTCGATCTTGCCTGGGCTGAGTCTTGTTTGTGTGCTCGTTGTAAGTGGTAAAAGAATGAGAATCGGTACGTCCCCGGAAAGAGTGGAAAGGGGGGAAATGATGGGAGAATGGGACGATGACGGAAAAGAGTGTCTGGTAAATTGAGGTTAGCTACCAAGCAACGACAACCCGGGTCGGCCGCAATTGCCAGCCGCTCAAACGCCCTCCTGAGCCAACCGCAGAGTGTGCAGCGCGGCGAAACGGAGAGGAGCAAGTCTTGTGCTGGGCGGCGCCTGCACGATGTGACAGGGAAATGGCAGTCAGGAAGAGGTTTGGGGACGGAGGGAAGAAGCCAAAGTCGCGTCAGACCAAACGAGAGCAGAACAGGAACCAATGCGAAAGGCGGCTCCCCAAGTCGAAATTCTGGAGACGTGGGTGTCCCCAGCGAGTTGTCCCCGTCGTCTGGTTGGCTGCGATACAACGGCAGACGTCGAGGCAGGAGATCTGCCGTCTGCAGAGGGTGCAGTGCAAAAGGAGGGGCGGTCTCGCAGCAAATAGGGGCAGGAAGAGGGCAGTGATGAGGTGGACGCAGGATCGTCGCCGTTATATGCACTTACCAATGGAATGCCGAGCCGATGGCTGGAGCTAGTGTAGATGCGTCGTTGCTATTCTGGTGGAACGGCAGCGGTAGTAAGGTAGGTAGTGAAAAGGCGTAGTCGTAGGTAGTAGGCGCAGACGCAGACGCAGGCGTAGTCGAAAAGAAAAGCAGGCGCAGGATCCTTTCCTACAGACGGAGGAGAAATGGAATGGGAGGACCGCAAGCCAAACGTCGGACGGATGGTCGAACGGAAGGAAGAGTTTCCAGTCGGGCGGTGGTGAAGTGAGATCGGACGAAGAGGCGTGGCCGCGTGGGGAGGTAAGGTACTGGACAGTACAGTGGAGGGAGGGTCTTGTGTCCGTGGCCCGGGCAAGTCTAAGGACAAGGACGAAGACAGGAAGGACTGAACGGGCGACGGTAGGATTTTGGCCGAAATGTCGACGAGAAGAGGGGATGGTGTAATTAAGTGAGGGTGAGAAAGGACCCGGGCGGGACGAGCAGAGAAAGGGCCAGATGCGGGTCGTGGACTGGGAAAGAAGCAGGGAATAACACTGGTGCGTCGCGGGCAGCAATTGCAAGTGGGAGTGCAAGTGGTGCGAATGATTACAAGCTGGACGTGCCAAACGATTGAGCTTATGTTGAGTCTTGTCCTGGAGCTGGGCTGGGCAGTCGTGGATTGGATGGATGGGTGGACTTGGGACCGTGACAAGAGTGTATTGTATCCGTAATATGTGATTATGCCAGTGGAGGTGAAGGTGAGATGGGCGGGGGATCGGGATGAGGTCAGTGCAGTGCAGTGCAGTGCGCAGTGTAATGCAATTCGAGATTTGCTACTCTGTAGTTGCGCCGACAGGAGATTGTTTCTATTCTTGCCAGGTTCGATGGCGCAAAGCCAGGTAGTGATGGTGATGGTTGCTGAATGGTGCGAGGTGTGTGAAGAGATGAAGACAATTCGAGAAGGGGGCGTTTAGCAGTCTACAAATTCAGTAAATGGTACGGAGTAGAGATAGGTGAGGCAGGTTTACTCCGTATCGAGGGGCGCAGTAGAGACGGGGAGCGCGTGAGAGAAGCGCATCAGAATGGGGGATTCCTTGGTCAGTACGCGGAGTAGGGAGTAGATACCTGTGTTCCTGAGCCGTGAGAACGTCTAGGTTACCTTACACAAGAAGGGAAGGCATGGCATGAACAGCCCGCTCCTTGCTCCTGACTTCTTCTCATGGGGGCAAGAGGGAAAGAGCGTCCCCATGGATCCAATGTCCCATCCAATTTGAGAGCTGGGAGGGGCGGCACCGATACGCAGTCAGGAAGGCGCACTGAAGCAACAGCAATTCGTGGCTTCTATTGGCCAGATCAAATGGCAATCCTATCCAATCCGCGCTCCGCACCCTGCAGCAAGAAATTCCCCCGACGCAGGTACCGACGGGGCCACGCTAAACTGGGAAGAGGTCGAGGTACCCGTCGCTTGTCTCGTCTGAGAGACTGCCACGCTGGTACGGAGTACGGAGTACCTGGTGAGGTGAGCTCTCATGCCCAATGGTCCTCTCCTGAAGTGGTCCCCCTTCACCCTTCACCCTTCACCCTTTACCCTTCACCCGAGCTTATTCTTGTTCCTCACTTCACCCCTACGGAGTGCGGATACCGTACTCGCCTTAGTCTTCCAGGAATCCAGTCGTCTCCTCCTTGGATGCTTGGATGCTCCACGAGAAAACACCTCCAACCTCCGCATGGCGTGTAACGCAGCCAGGCTCTAACAGCTCGCTAACCCAGCCCAGGGGCCCCCCAGAGCCACTAATGAGAGCTAATAACGCCATTGGGGCCACCTAGAGCTGCCCAAGGCCCAAAGCACCCAAAAAGGTCTCGCCCGCCCGCGCGCCCACCACGAGGGAATGGATCCCCCTCCCCCGATGGCAGAAACACCGTTTGAACTCTGCAGTTGGCTGCTTATCTCTGCCTTCAAGTCTTAACCAGTAAGTCCTGTTAGCTGAATCGGCATCAAACGTATCAGATTCGGAATGACTGCATTCCATAGACTTTGACGGTTCAGCAGATGCGGTATCCCGTTGTCTTCCGATGCATGTTTCCCGAATTGCATGGCGTTGAGCTGATGAACTTCGGCCGGTGGCAGCGGTAATCTCAGTAACGCAGTCTCTACACCGTGTTCATGCATGATGGGATCCCACTAAACCAACACCACCTTAGTCCCCGATACAAGAATTTACCTCATCGGCTTTCTCCCCCTTTTTTTTTCTCTTTCCCCTTCCAATCCAATTAACACACAAGGCTGGGAGTCTGGAACACTGAGGATGACGTTACGGACCGTTGAGACCGGCACATGGGAACATTTTCTCCGCCTGAAGAAGAGCTTGCTTTTTCGTCATCAACTTACTTACCGTCTCGGACACCAGCAAAAGTCATCTCGCCATTCCATTTAGCCGCGTAAGTCTGTCTGCACAATGGGACGAAATGCTCTGTACTTGGGGGAAGGCCAGGTACCTTACCCAGTGTAAGGTACCCAAGGTAAGGCAGGGACCGTACTCGCTTACACGGATAAGCGCCTTCCCAAGACTGAGTTTCGAGCGCTTTCAGATGTAACGGAAGGTAAGAGGAAGCCCGTCCCAGACTCCCATCCAAAGGGACATTCCCTGAAGCAACCGCGACAGAAAAGTCACAAACCTGCCTTCCCAGCAAGAACATTCCAGGAAATGTGACTCAGGCCCAGGCTGCCCCTTAAGATTGCATCCAGTGATTGCAGCTTGCAACTCGCAACTCCCAGGTTCCCTACCCACCCGCATCTCGCCAACTTCATCCCCTGACCAATCACCTTCAGCCAACTCAATACTTGAGTGTCGGTTCCCGTCCATCATGCTTCCCGCGCGTCTGTCACGCGTGTTTTTCTGCGAAGGTTGCGCTTTGCTTCTTTACCTAGAGCTTAGATAAAGCGTAACTTCCCCTAACCTTCGACTGGTCATCGAACATTCGAAGGGGGACAGAGACGTCTTTGGCACCTCACGTTTACCTACTTACACTTCCTTACACACACACACACACACATACAGCCGCTCGGCGTCCTACAGCATCGCTCCCCGACGCCAACTCAATTGATTGAGCTTCGTGTAGCCCGCCATCGTACCAAGTGGTACCGCAGCAATCACTGCAATGGCGGGTTGACTCTACGGATACCTTGCTTGCGGCATGCCGTGGCCTGCAGGGCTCGTGGCACGGATGGAAACGTCTATGCTCTCGCTGGCCGCCTTGTGCGCTGGTCGACCCGACTCGTTTCCTCCCGAATGCCCACCGGAAGATCGTCGACATGCTACCTCACTGACAAGTCCAGATGTGGACGACGATCTGGTATTGCAACACACAACTGCCGCTGGACTGCCGTCATCCTGCCCTACACACCCACTAACAAGTACCAACAGCAACCATCACGCAACTGTCAAAATGCTCTCGTTCACGGTTCTCCCCAAAACTCTAATGGACCCCCAACTGCCTTGTCACCTCTCACTCGAGTCTCGAGCCCCCATAACCAGCCAATCTCGCTCCCCATCCACGGCCCCTCTTTCCTCTCGGCTCCCGTCCCCATGAACTGTGGGGCTTCCGACGCCGAAATGGCCCTTGTTTCACATTAACCACGCGCTCCTTCATGCCATCTCATCCCAAAAATTCCTCTCAAATTGTCCGAGATCGATCGGCGCTCCAATTTTACAGTGCTTTTAGCTTGTGGAACAAAGCACAACCGCATTCCAGGGGTCCAACTTGTGTTGCTTGTTTTTTTTTTTTTTTTCTCATTCTCATTTCCGCCCTTGCTGCTGGTCTGGGAGGGAGTATTCGTACGAGGTACGGATACCATCCAGTCTAGACTTCCTTCCTTTCACACCACCCATAACTTCATCTCGAATGTGTGGATGTGAGACAAGTCGGCAGTCTTTTCAAGTGGCAGATACCGAGACAAGACTACTACATAAAGGGCACACTAATATCTGCTGGTCACCTCTCATAGCCCTAAGCTTAACTCGACTTCATGCAATTCAAGACATGAACCACAGCGAATATCAATATTCCCCTCATTTTATCGAGCGGCTTATAGGAACCGATGGTTTCGTGTGAACCTACCAACCCTGGCGTCTCATTCAACCAGGTCTAGGAAGATCCCCGTGAGCCGCAATATCGCGGAAACAGCTTCCGTACCCCAGGTGTCCAGCTCCCTGACGCCTTGCTCGCTCGGGTGGCGCCCCCCGTCGGCCCGCTGGCTCATGCCTCTCCCGCTCCCATGCAATGCATCATACCGAGTCGAGCCTCTAGGCCCAGGGACTGGTTAAGTTCATATCTTGTGAGGTCCCGGATCCTGCGTCGTTGTTGGCTTTAGGCTCTTCGACCATGAACCAGCCCATCGAGGGTCGTAGACATAAAGCTCGACAGTCGTCATACCTCAGCAGAGACTCCGTGCCCTTTCTCGGCATGGTAAGATAGTCTCCCTTCCCCATCAACAAGTTTACTAGCAAGTGGCCGACATTCCAACAAGGCTTGATTCGCATCCCACAGATGGACACCAACAGACCAGCCGGGCCAGGGTAGCCAGAAACAAGGTTACCTGGACAGTGGGTGTTCATGTTTGCATCAGCCTTACACCGCAACCGAGTGAGCCGACGGTACTCGGTTAGGTTGCTGCACTTGTCAAACATTTACCCTTTCTCTTACGCCCAGGACTGAAGTTCCAACTTCCGAGGGCTTTCAAATACGTCTATTGACCTTAGTCGGATGTTTGTACGGCTGGCGAGTCTACAAGGGGGCCTGGCGATGTTGAGAGATGGGACTGTGATATCTGTGATGGGGCTTACTTCTGGAAAGGAGGAGAGGACTGCTTTTAAACCCTATATCGTAGTATGGGTGTCTTGCCTGTTTCCATTGCCTTGGCATACACACTACCTTTTTCTGAAGATGTCGCTGGCATTCGTGAGTAGGCGAGGCTTCTTCCTCTTGGGTTGCGAGAGGCAGAAGTCTACCTCAGGCAGTGAGTGTGACGGAGAAGTCTGAAAGGCATGCTTTATCAAAAGGCCAGTCCCCTCGCGGCAGTTGCATTCACTCGGACATCTTGCTTTTCTTCGCCAAGTTAGCCGCAGGACACATGTCCACCCATGCAGGCGGTAAATTGATTGTCGGAACAACGAGACCTAAGCCATTCAGCATACAGCACACAGCAGCTCTACTCGAATCCAGCCACGCAGTGTTACGTATACGTGTTGGGATATACCCAAGACTAGGGATGGTTCGCGGGTTAGTGCCAAGCATGTAGATGGTACGGCACTGTAGGTTCGATACCATTTTAAGCTTTCTAGGCAAGACTCATTGAGATATCGAGGACTTGGTAGCGATGAGAATTAGATCACACTACGACCGGAAGCGACTAGCCAAGTATCGATGCCAGGGAACGACAGTTCAGAACCGGACTACGCTACACGTTGATGGACGATCTGATATTCGCAGAGGCAATGGGTCTTCTTACTGTTTAGTAGGATGGAGCCAAATGCTGCTTCGAGTCGGCAAGCACAGTAGAATACATGCTAAGTATGGTACTGCTGGGATGCGTACTCACATGTTTAATTAGGCGTTCTACAGCGAACGACATGCCTCCATTGATTTTGCCAAAGCGAGTTCAACAACAGGTAGTCGGCGTTGGTCCGTCCCTGAAAGGCTATATGGAACATCTCGTTGGACGGGCCTTCGACCTTTGCAATCGATTCCTCTGGACCCTCGATATAACAATTAGCTGTAACCTTGACATGGTGTCCTGTAACTGGGAGTTTCCGTCTTCTCGTTTTCCCTATACATCACTATATATTCGCCAGTACTTGAACTGATTATACCGCAATGTTCCGGAGTCCTATCGGTGTGCTTGAAATGATAATTGAAAAGTCGACTGATTGACGTCCTCGTCGCCGATAACTCCAAGGTACCACCAGCTCAAAAGATAACAAGAGTGGGAAAGAGAGAAGATACTTTGCTCTTTCTCCATAATATCTCTCTACTATTCCCATCAGAATAATAAGCGAGGAGAATCTAGAAAGTTGAGGTGATTATCATGATTCGAACATGTAGGGCGAAAGTGTGAGAATGCATGACTAGGTTAAACCACTTGGGCACCACTTAGTACGCTCTGTATGACGATAAGTGGGAACAAAGCACATGGCAATCGCGTTCTGGCCTGACCCATCATACAAGGCTGCGGCAATAGCGCTATTTAATACTAAATCCATATCTAGCAGGGAGACATGGCCCTCGACTACGATATCTATCGGGACGAAGCACCGTCAACCGCTCGTTATCTACATCAAAGGTTGATATCCACGGACGACAGGATGACCTGTTCATTCCATTTTTTTGCTACCCGAGAGAAATCTTCGGGGACGTTGGCTTAATCAGAACCTAACTTTTGTCGTGGTGAAATCACAAGACCGGTCGGTGTACTAGTCTATGGGTTTGGAAACTGTTTCGACGACTGGGACGAGTTAATACCGACTGTGTGGTTTAACTGGACGAGACACCGGTTTGGTCGAGGCTCTTGAGAAACAAGCTTCCGAGGCACAGGCGAAGCCGCGGCTGCTACGTTGCTTGAGGTTTCAATCTCTGGACTCTGTGAACGCTTAGAGATGGAAAGTCCAAAAAAAAACCGCCAGACTGATAGGGCCTGGGGGGCTATGTTTTACTGCGTTGCTGCCCACTTCGTGAAGCATGATCACGCGAAACGACAGACGGCACGACCACCGTCGACGCCGCTTCTCCGCGGGACTTGCTTGGTTCACAATGGTGAGGGAAATCCCTCACGCGCAGTCTTCAAACCAATATGACTTGCTGATCGTGGAGAATCGACGAGGAACGTTGGCGCGTCCGATTGTAGAGATGGCTCCCCGTCATGTCAGGTTGAAGACTAGACTTGTGAGATGGGAAACTGAAAGTCAACAGACATAGAGTGAGTGAGGTTCATCCCGTGGTTGAAAAGAGCTCTTGTTCTCCCCCATTGCTTGGAACCCCAATTCTTTCTCTCGATATGAGACCTGCTCCAAAGATGTCAGCTCCGGGCAACTAGAGTGTGAGAGACAGTTCAATGCCACGCGTGAGGTCTAGTCCTGGGTCCGGATGTTAAACAGAAGAGTGGTATCTTTCCTATATCAAATGCCTCTATAAGGTTCTTACCGAGCCCCCAAACACCATAAACGCGAATCTAATGATCTTGTCTACTTCTTCAACTCTAGACTCATCATCTTCTGCACCCTTATTCACATCGTCACCGTCTAACCCTCAAACACCTCATGCTGCAGCTCAACCCCGAAATCCTGCGCAATATCCTTCATCCTCTTCTCCATCTCGTCCTCCATTCCGCCCCCGAACCCAAGCAACTGCTTCACCTTGAAAAAGTAAAACGCTACATCCGTCAGCGCCAACACGCCCTTAAACAGCAAATGCCGCCAGGCATTATCCGCCCTCTTGGCCCACGGCAGATTTGGGTCCTCAAACAGGCTGCGGCTCGCCCACTCCCCCATCATCTTGACCCGGTTCACGGGGCTGCCGAGGTACTGATTATTCCCCTGCACGATGCGCATATTGCGCCCGATGAAGATCAGCTCCTTGGGCCACTTCTCCTCGTCGGCCAGCATGTCCCGGATCCCTTGCTTCATCCGCTGCTGCATCTCGTAGTGCCGCTCCGCCGGCGTCTTGCCCTCGAGCTCCTTCATGATGCCGTTACGCGTCCGCTCGTCGCCGCCCTCGTACGGCCTCATCAGCGTCGCGCTCGCAAAAAGGTCCGCCGCCTTGATACCCCACTCCGTCGTCACCTGCTCAATCGTCTTGTTGTCAAACGTCATGAGCGCCTTCCAGAAGACGCCATACTGGTGCCGGAATTCCGGCGACATGTAGACGTACAGCCCGTGGTCGATGAGCACCAGCTCCGCGCGCCCGTTGGGCAGCCGCCGGATAAAGATGTTGCCCGGGTGCGGGTCGCAGTGGACGACGCCCCATTTGAAAATCTGCGCGGAAAAGAGGTCAATCATGGTCGTCATGACCTCTTTGCTCGACAGGCCCAGGCCGCCGCGCCCGCGACGGCCCTTCCACTCGCTGCGCTCCGGCTTGAACTGCTCGGCGTACGGCCGGTCGCGGAGCTCGCGGCGGACGGTGGCCATGTCCGGCGGCAGCAGCTGCGCGCCCTGGACGCCCGGCGAACCCTTGCCGTACCCGCCCATCCACCGTCCGTTGATCCCTTGCTTATCCCACAACCGCGTGCCCTCGATCCACTCCGTCACCATGACGCGCCGCGTCGAGAGCTCCGGGTAGACCTTGGGCACGTACACCCTGCCCCGGAGGCCCTTCTCCGAGTTGATCAGGTCCCGCATCGTCTCCGAGTTCTTGGCCTCGTTCAAAAAGTCCGTCTCGAGCTCCAGCCGCTCCGTGATGAAGGGCACGAAGCTGTACAGCGGGAGATCGAACCACTTGCTGTAGATCCACGCGACCGTCTTGAACGCCCACAGGTCCCACGTGATCTGCTTCGCAATCTCCCGCTTCTGGATCTTGACCGCCACCTCGCGGCCGTCGGGCAGTCGCGCCCAGTGTACCTGCGCGACGCTGGCGCTCGCTCGCG